GTAACGCCGTCGAGGCTTACGTCTCTGAACCTCCACGTTAATAATTATTTTCATATTCCCCGACCCCGTCGTCTACCTAGCTTACAAGTCCCGGACCAATTAATGCAAACCCGGAAAACAAAGGGCACAATACAATAATAATTAATATCAAAAAACATCACTACTATTGTAGTAACGACCGCGGACCATTTGTGAAAAGGGAGCAGTTAACTTTACCAAAAAGCCGATTTCATGTGCGCTCGACATTTTGGCCGAGGAAAAAATATGTCGCTTCTCATTGTGAGTTATGATGTTTACGGGTGGATTAGTGCGAACCGTTTTTTGTTTTATAGTTTTTCTTTCCAACGTGCTCGTTTGACAAAGATAAGCAAAACAAATTTCAAAGTACTTATTTTATTGACACGCGTTTGGATCGCCCTTTGTGTCCTGCCGGGTGCAGAGTAATAACTACTGGCCGTGATAATAATTATTACTATCATACCGGCTTAAAAGTAATTACGAGCAAACCAAAACTTTATTAATAACAGCTAAATTGCCATCTGATATAAAACGTTGTTTCGAAGCGGATCATATGTTTAATTGTTTTATGTTGCCAAAGTATAAAAAGGGGTTCAGTAGGCATACTGTCCTGCCCAGTTATAATATTTCTGCTCTGTTGACACAGCAAACTTTCATTTTAATTCAACAACACAATGTACACACAAGAACCACAGACATACGGCTTCTTGACTCCATTCGTATGTTATTCTGGCGAAATGGGATCATTTACGTTAACCAATAAATTTTCAATTATATGAAAACACAATGAGGGTCGGTTGTTGGGTCGTCAACGCTTTCGCAAATCACTTAAACAAGCTGCATCGAGTGCCATTACAATATTACACAGAAATATTATTTTCTGACATTGTGTCGCGACTTCACACCTGAGAGGTTTCATTCACTCGCAGTCGATTATTTCATTTTAATTGTTGACACGCCAGCTGTTCTCAGAATAATTATGTGTTTAAAAATATGGCTTTTTCAATTAGACTCATAATTAATTACTGTTTAGTTGTATGAGCAAGGTTAACTTAAATAATTAAGGCATTAACAATAAGAGAAAATTTGTTTTTTTTTTTTAAGAATTTTGTCGAGTTCTCATAGTGTAATCGAAATATAATAAATTCACATTTAAAAATTAATTATGAATAGTTTAAGATTCTCAAATATTTGATTGTAAAGATAAATCTTAATAATTATTCAGTACTAATTTTTGAAAACCGGTGAAACGATGTGAGAAACGATAACCCGCTCGTTGGCTATTGACTGTACATGACATTTAAAGAACACGGCCAATGATCCTTTGGTAGTTTGCACTTAATCTATAAGACGATGTGCTCGGTCGGGTACTTCTATGTTTGCAACACGGAAAATCAACGGTAGACGTTCGTTGACAGTAACATTCACATTGGTTTAAAACTATGGCTGATGATGAATTACATTTGGTTATTTTATTTTACATGGGCGATTTCACTTTTGATATAAAAAAATAAAATTAAATAAATGTTAATGTAAATGTTGGCAAACTCGCGTTCGGAAATGTTCACACGAAAAATACATAACCTATTTGCATTGTTCTTGGCAGTGAGTCATCAAAAACTATATGAAAATGTAATTATTCTAATTGTTTAATGCTGACCGGATTCGATTCGGAACTAATCAAACACACAAGTGACCGCACCAAGTTTTTGTGACTGTATAACTTTATTTTCGGCTATTGGAATGTTGATTTTCGGCCGAGATGGAAATCTTCAAGGGAAAAATATTAAGACGGGTTATCGGTACAATTTACCAGCAGTATTTGTGCGTTTCATTAGTTTTTTAATTAGGCTAAATAGCGATAGGTGCGGTCGTGATTTCGTTCTAATTTTTATGTTTTCTGCTTATTCCAATCGAACCATGATCAAATGTATTTTGTTTTGTGGGCCGCTAATATCGACTAGCGAAACGTCAGCACAAATAGTTATAATTACTATCAACAGCAGCCGACGCAATCCTTTTGCTGGGCAAATATCGTAGGTCATAACTCGTAAATATAATTATAAAATATAATGGCCTATACGTTTACCTGTAACGAACTGCACCGAGCCGTTTTCACACTCGCTGCCCTATCACAAATCTTAACCAATTCGGCACACGTTCAAATAGTATTGTCTGATCGCAGTTGTATAAATATCAAGCGGCGTTGTTGTATCTTTATAATTTAGATTAATGTTAAACCATCAATCTATGAATGTCGGCGATTAAACATTTTTTTGCGCAGTGAAATAAGATATTTTAATAATACTTTTTCTTATCCCTCGTCGGTAAATTAAATTTATGGAAAACAAAGTAAAGACACGAACACCCTTTTGGGACGTTTTTAGCATTTATTCGTCGACCTCGACGCGTTTAATGTGGAAGCCATTTCGAATTTCGATTAAAACGAGATCGGAACGAAGACGGTTTCAATTTCTTCGGTTAAAGTCTTAACGAACGTCTTTTGTATTATTATTTTTATTGATTAAATATGTACATTCGGGTACTTTAGCCGTTTATTATTATAATACAGACTGTATTGAGATATCGTCACTCTAGGCACTGCACTGTCAAGTCGAACCAATAATAATATAAATATTATCTCGGCTGGAATCATTTTATTTCTTGCAGCCGTGTGATACGTTACAAAAAAAAAAAGACACAATTGTTTTTTTTCTCGATGGAGGGGTGAACAAGCGTGTTCACTTATACACTATAATAATCTGAATAAATTACGTTGTCTGTTATAATTATTACTATTGGGTAAACCGGTTGCGGTGTACAACAGCAGTCCTCTCGGCTAGTGATCTGATTTTTTTAAAGAGTAACCCATTCTCCTCCGTAGTTGCCGTCTCATCTTTACTACACGCGTTCTAAACACCGGCTATAAATAGCGTTTAAAGCAGTCACTGGGAAAGAACACGCGAAGACGATTTGCCGTGGCTATTAAGCTCAAAAACCCGTAACCCCCCCGACGGTCTTGAGAAACGGCAAGTCGCCACCTAACCGCGGACGGCCGCGAATTCAATTTGCGCAAAGCTCCGACGGTAAAATACAAGAAAATGGAAATTTCGACGTTTCCTTTTCGTTCCGAAACGGATTCAACAGCGAAAAATCATTTTCGCCCGGGGCCCTTTACTTGTAACTATGCACATTACACGACGGAACATTCGTGCCGGCGTCGGGGTTGATGGGGCGGAAAGCGAAACATAAACACAAACATGTATAATGTTATGATAAAAGTGTTTTTGGCTGTTGGTGTTCGCCGACGTTCTGTTAGTACGGAAGAGTGTACACACGAGTTGTCTTTAGGATATTTTACAGAATGCACGTAAACACAACCGTCCGTTTTTATCCGATAACCTGTAATTTAAAAACTATACCATTCGCGGCAGTCTACCCGCCCACAGTTCAAGCTCTGGATAGCCGCCGAACTGTACTCGGTACGATACGAATGGGGCCCGAGAATTATTGTAGCATTTCTATAAATTTCGATTTTTTATCTGCGCTAAACAACAGTTTTTCACCTCCGCGATTAGTTTATTCACAACTTGAGCTACCGACACAAATATCTCTCTGAATGAACGCCGGTGAAACTTACTAGTATAATAAGTGATATTCTGTCGTGAAAATGCAAAAAAAATAGACACCTCGCACTGAGATGGTTAAGTTTGTAGTCGGTTGGATTGCGAGTGGTAATAGTTGTCGAGTTAATTAAAAAAGATATTGAAACGTGGAAGAAAGATAGATTTTTCGTAAAAAAAAAACACCTGTATTTAAGTAACGAGTGTACCAGTCTTGTTTTGTGAATTCAAAAGTTATGCACACGTCGTTACGCATTTGCACGTTCAGTGTTTGGGTATTGGAATAAAAAAGTTATACAACGAGAGGTTTTCATTATTTTTATTTTGAGGTTCCGTTTGAGTATATTAATTTTGTAAAAATGTACACACGAACGAGAACATTATTACTGATAAACTATAGAATTTATTAAACACGTTTTTTGTGCACGACTAATACTAATACTACATCAGTAAGTCTTCTGTTATGCATATGCTTATAACGACGATACATTAATACGTTGCCATTTGCCATTTATTAATGCCGGATACTTTTTGTGTACCAATTACTTTTTTAATTATTAAAATGGAATCGACATATAACATTAATGTTATTCGTAGTGCTTTAGTCATCACGAACCTGACAATTAGATTAACATGGATACATCGTCAATAATTAAACAATCGGGCTGATATTAGACAGAATCCTATACAATTCGAAGGCTTTTGAACTAGTTTTTGATTATGTGATGTCCACTAGTGTTTTATTCACAAAATTATTGCAATTAATTTGCCAAATACATTAAATATTCAATATTATTTACCAAATTTATGTGAGTTTAGCACGTTGTGCACACATATTACTATCGGCAATCAAATTGAATTTAAATTTGAAGTACATTTCCCACTTAAATTTTGTCGATTTTAAGAAATATTGAATATATTTCTATTGAAAAAAAAATAATTTATATTGTACGCACATAGATTACACGAAACATGATGTTTCGCGAGAATATTAGGACCGGATAAAATTACACAATTTTACATGCTCCACACTAAAACAGACTCAAACTGGATTGTAAAAAAAAAAAATTAAAAACTTATATTCTCTTTTGATGTAAGTAAAAAATAATTATAACAAAGGCTACAAACGTATCAAATATTAACAGCTACAAGACAAATACATGAACTACAGACTGAAAACTTCAGTAGCATTCTACGGTTTGAGAAATCTACTAAAAATCTAATTATAAAAATATTAAACGATTATCAAACGTTTGTAATGGATCCGACATCCAGGCCAAAATAATATCTTCTCGGACTCGACCCATCCACCTAATAGATATATATATATATTTTAATTACCATATAGATCAAACTCACGTTTTAAATCCAAACACAGCAGTCCGGCCAAGACATAATAAAGCAACATCATGTTGTGAGGTCTCGTTCGACTGACTGCCGAGTGTTATAGTACTGCAAAGTCAGTTATATTTGTTCCGAAAGAAATACGCATAAGAGTTATTTTCGAGCACTTAATAAATTGACGTTTATTAAGAGTACACGGGCATTTCTAGCCGTTCAAGCACAACCGGTTGGGTTTCCATCGGGAAACCAAACGGACAAACAAAACTAATCCGATTTTCACGCACCGACAAAGCTCTTGATAGTTTTTCCGGCGTCAGGTAAATTTTCCGAAATAATTGTTCGTCTAATATTGAAACGATTGCGCGGGAACGTACCGGCAGATGTGTAGGCGGCACAGGACGATGAACCTTCCGCGACCGACAGACAAACGATACTGACTCGCGCGATAGTCTCTGGTCGCTTGCCGGCGTAGGATAACAGAGTCAAGTGACGGAGAAGATAGCGAGTGGATGTGAGTGTGTGCGTTGGTCGTCGGCGGCGGCAACAACTCACAGCAGGGTAGTCGTCACCGGTAGCCCCGAGACCGGCTTCTCCACTCCTCTTCTTGCCGTCGTCACTGCAGTCCGTTCCGCCCAAAAGACCATAATATTATATTATTATTTATTATTGTACACGTGAAAAAATATATATAACCCATTGCAGGGTAAGTACCTAACAGGACCCGTGAACTGCCACCAGTGTTAATGGTTCTGAAACTAAACCGTAACGACAATTGTAATATACTGTCGTCAAAGACTTTTTCAAGAAACGAATTTCCATCGAGTTTTTTTTTTATTAAAAATAATATTTAAATTAAGAACAGTATAAAAAACTTGATTCTATTATGAGAAAACAAACAAAACCAATGTCTTTAATTATTCGCATTTTTAAACAAAATAGAGCTGTTCATTTAGAATTATGAATTATTTTACAGAAAAAAAAAAGAGATTTATTCTTTTTAAAAACATTTTCGATTTAAATGACTGTTTAGAACTTAATTTCGCCACAATTATTTTTCCATTAGGAGAGTAAACATTACACTACAGAAGGTTCATTTTTAACAAGTGGTTAATCACAATCATTTGATTTTCAACACTATTTAATATATTAAAACAAATTTAAGTGTTTAAAATGCCAATTAAAATTAATCTGAATACCAAATGCTTATAAACAAAAGGTACAATTACTATTGGAAATGAAAAAATCTGACTTTCGACACTAAAACTCTAAAATAAAATTAGTAGACTTTTCGCTGGTGTCATTTAAAAAATAATAATTATCTTAGTTTTAGTACTGCGAAATTTATTATTTTAATTTATCATCAGTGAATTTGATTTTTTTGAAAATAAGTATTATTCATCAATTTAATGAGAACCTTTAAAATATCAACTCAAATTACAATTGATTTACAGATTTTGTAGTCGTTTTCATCATTTTAACACTTATAAAATGTAGAATCCATTTTTTTTATTCAATTCAATTTTTAATAAAGTAAAGCTGTCCGCGAGTAATGTACGTACTAGAGAAGGTATCGAATTTAATTTCGTTTATTATTAAGTAGAATTTCAAAAAAATATACATATTTTATTTAAAACAAAAAAATTGTCAGTAAGAATTAAAAATCTAAGTTTTGATTGAATCATTATAATCGATGCATTCAGTCGTTGGTCAGATAATTTTTTCCGAGTCAATCCAAAGTGATTCACGTCACCTAATCATTATAATAAGGATTACTATGTATAATAATAGCAATTGTCATTATGGTAAGTACGGCAGTGGAGTAATTGCTTTGGCCGAGTAAATGCGTCATTCTCTATCCCAACCGTTCAGTGACAGACAGTTAAGGATGTGCGGTCTGGCTACATTTTTAGCGGGTGGCGTACCGAAATAAGTAGACTTAAATTAATTTTCGTAACCGACTTTCCGTAAAGCTTAATGTCATGGTCTTCGTCTGTTTACCTGGCACGGAGAAATAAAAAAAAGGGGAGAAAATAATGTTGATTTGGGCTCGCGTTGCCTTCGCCATCAAAATCCAATGCTATATAAAGTACAAACACTTTAGCGAAGATGCTAATTTTTCATTACCTTGTAAACATTTAAAATAAAAATGATGCGCATAATTTATATTATAATTCTTTACAGGTGAACTGCCAAGCTGTGTTTACCAGACAAAAATGATTGCTGTGTTTTTTTAATGTTAAAAGGTTGCTAGCGTTATAAAAGCAAATTTGCTGTCGACAAAGACATACGTTTAGTTTTACCTACTTGTAAGTCGAGTTTCATATTTTGAGAAAAAGTAATTTCATATGGTTTCAAGAGGCTGATCTTTAAAGACATATGATTTCTAAGGATTTATTATCTGACAAAAAAAACAACACAGGGAATTTGCTGAATTTAGCATAAGTACACTAGCTCAATATTTATGTTATATAAAAAACCTTATAAACTTCAAAATAAAAGGTGTCAAGTTAGATTTGCACGTGTGATTGAAATATTGTTTAGTTTAATAATTAAGTTGCATATTTATCCAATCAAACAATTTTCTAAAAGTAATCTTAACTGAATTAGTTATTATTAATTATAATAATCTAGATCAATCATGTTTTCTTTTTTTTGTTTTATATATATATATAAATATAAAAAATATCGCGAAGGTAAAAATTAGAAAAGTTTGGGTTATTAAAAAGTAATATTTTTACTATGAAACGAGCAATACTTATTTTTATATTATACAGTGTATGTAGTAATAAAGGGATCGACAAAGTATGTTTATATTTTGTTAAACAACTAAAAGTTTTTCACGATTTTTACCGAGTAACTTAAATATTTTTTAATAAAAATTGTTGATGAAATTTACTCGTAACAATTATTCTTAGTCGTGCTTGTTGATACTCATACGACGTATTTTGACTATTATTTCATATGAAAAATGTATAATTATTTGATAATTAAATAAATTTATTAGCTGCACAAGATATTAATTTTCATTTAGGTATACCATAAAAAAGGAATAAACTTTTTGTATATTAAACTTTATTTTGTTTGAGTTGTTTAGAAATTTTTCGACATACAAGAATAAGAGAAATATATTTTTAAATTATATCAATATTAAGAAAAATCAATAGTTAAGATAGAATTAGTAACAAGATATCTGAACATTCTAATACAAATTAGAAAAATTATGTTATCAAAATTTGGATCAACGAAATAAAGTGTATATAAAGTGTATATAAATGTATATTATTTGTTATCTTGTTTATATTCAGAGATGTCTTTCTATCAACGATTACTCGGTAAGTTTTTATTTAAGAACCAGGTTCCAAAAAGAGATAATATTTTCCTATTTCTTGAATGTTTTATTTTTTTTAAAAATGTATTTGTGAACGAAACTGTTTTAAAAAATCAGATATTAATAAATATATGATGTTTTTTACTAATTAATTTATCAATTACTGGTATCTGAAAAATAGAAAAAAAATATTTTTAGATGAATGTGCTATTTTGAAACTAACAAAAATTAATTGTTAAATAAAAGGTTGATTTGGAATTTTAAAGAATATAACCATCCAACATTATTTTAGGAAAGATTTTTTGATTTATAGCCTATTATATTGTAATACCGGGTCAGTTATTTTCAATTCATTATTTATATCAAAATAGAATTAAATAAAAGCAATATTTGTTAATGTGTTCCATAAAAAAAGTAATTAAAAGAATGTTGGGGGAAGAGATTTTTTTTACAAAAAAAAGGAAAAATCTTTTTGCTATTTTGTAAATGCATAAAATTAAAGTATTCCTTGTAATTTTCATAAAAATCTTTAAGGCATTCAGTATACTTTGTATAAAATATCATTGTGGTATTTTTCATAATTTAAATAAAATGTTACAGGCATTTAGTTTTAGCCGAATATGTCAGTTAATCGATAGTCTGTTAAAGTTGGAAATATTTAGGCAATAATATAATTTAACCGACGAAGAAATATAACTACATTGAATGATTTTTGTGACACATTTTATGTTAAATTCTACTAATAACATTTCCAAAACGATCACAAGTTAAATTGTATTTTTGGATAATAATACAGCTATTCAATATTACTTGCAATACGTTGTGCAAACATTGTATAAAACTTTCAAAACGATTATAAACATTTTCTCAAAGTTGTTCAACTTAAAATCAAACATCATAAAATATCTAATAGTTTTCAACGTTATATTTTACATAACTATTTTTTACTAAGTAATATTTCTGACTATTATAATAGTTCTGAATGGTAAAACAATGACTAACATTTATTAGTCGTTTTAGTCATTTGATCGGAAAGATATTCCCACTATCAGTTATTCGAGGAAAACTTATTGAAATTTTAATATTTAGCGAAATGACTATAATTAAATAACAACTGAAATCGAGCAAGTTAATTTTTTTTTATTCTAGCAAACTGTTAATTTTATAAAATAGAATAAATGTGAACAAATTTAATTTTCCAAGCGAGAAAATTCAAGTAATTTACTATACTTTTAAGTTAAACATGTTTTTAATAAAATTATTATATTATATTATATTTGATTATAGTTAGATTTTAAGATTATCTGCAAATGTTGTGTTACAATCTTAGAAAATCTAATTGACATAAAAAAATACTTAAATATACTTCCAAAAAATAGCAAGAAAGTCATACAATATTCACATAGTAATTCTGTAATTTTTTTCAAGAGCTAAAGAATTCACAAAAATATAAAATCTGTTTTCATACTTTAAAATATTTATTTTCATAATAATCTAAGTATTAAGTTAATAATTAATCACCATTAAACTTAAAAAATTATTTTTGCTTTCTTAAAAGAATAATTTCTATACTACTGCTTGGAAAATAATTTGTTCAAAAAATGAATACAAGTTAATTCTTTTAACTCTAGTCACTCAGTTTCTAAATATAAAATAATAATCATGCTAAGAAAATTATTTTTGGTATATTTTAGTCTTATATATTTTTTATGAATTACTGTTTTTGTTCGTTCCTTATACCGTATAAAAAAGTCAACTTTTTTATTTTAACATACATATTTAACTAGCTCATAAAATAAAAAATTATCTAATTAAGGAAGTTATTGGTCAATAGCATATTTTGCCCTATTATTCCAGAATTCATCAATGTTTTAAAACATGGATTTTACGTTAGATTAGGTTAATATAAACAATATTGTATAATTTTTAAAAATATTAAAAATAGTGTTATAATAATTTGCATGGAGTTACATCAACACTGATATATATGTATATTTGTAAATAATGATGAGTAAAGTAAAAAATACTCTTTAGTTTACGTTTTATATAATTATTAAAATAATTATATAAGTTTTGTTTTTTTTAATTAACTGCAATGTAATAATAATATTGCTAATTATTATAGCCACACAATGTACACGAGAACTTTTAATGGTTTTGCGGGCAATAATACTATTTTATTATGTTTTCTTGAGTAAGGAATCATAATAAAACTCGAAAATT